TCTAACGGAGAGATCTCGATCTAGATGAGTACATCACCATAATCTCAGAACAAACTAAGAAGAAGAAGAAAAGATACAACTAAAAATGATTTCTCTGGTTATTTTTCTGCAATTGATCTTCAACTCTGTTTATAGCTTCACGACTTCTTCTCTAAAACCAACGCACCAATCAGCAGCTCCCAACTCATTATTCACCTCTCAGCCAATCATCTTTAAGCATCTCTCCACGTCAGCTACTCTTCATATTCCCTGTAACAGTCTGTGCAGTTCAGATGCAGAAATCGATTATAGAAGAAGCGGACGAAGGAAAGGAGATTTTGCGTGGCATGACTAGAAGAAACCCTTTCTTACCATTGATACGTTTTCTTGACTAATCTGTAGAGTTTTTGGTTTTGCTTTTCTCTTACGAGAACAAATTAAGCTTGGGTTCTGTGTGGTGTTTAGTTAGTATGCTATATATTATGAATAATATATACACATAAAGTATATGAATATTGACTGAATTATTATTTGTATTGATTCTCTCCTTCTTGTTGTCTGTTGCTTTGACTATCTCCTCGTCTTCTGCTCTTCTTAACTGTCTCTTAGTATTCATGTCTTGTACTCTGTATAAATACCTTGCTTCTCATCAATAATAATTATCTCTTTCATAACAATTTATATGGTATCAGAGCAGTGATCTGCTAACCTCAAAAAAAAAAAAAAAAACCTTCCGACGTTTTTTATGGCGTCCCAAACTTCTTCAGCCAACTATGGCTCTGCAATCATCGTCAATCCCAATGACCCACAAAATCCGATTCTCTCCATTAATATGAGTACTGTGACTCGACTCACAGCCTCTAATTACATTACCTGGAGTCTACAAGTTTCTCTGTTTCTCGATGGGCATAGTCTTCTGCAGTTCATCTCTGATGATGCTGTTGTTCCTCCGCCTACAGTGCAAAACAATGACCTTACCTCGCCCAATCCTGCTCTTACGGCATGGCAAAAACAAGACAAATTGATCTTCTCGGCTATGCTCGGCACTATCTCCACGCCTCTCCAACCGCTTGTTTCCACAGCAACAACTTCTCTTGAAGCATGGAACTCTCTTCGCTCTACTTTTGGTCGTCCTTCTCGTGGTCATATGAAACAAATCAAGGAACAACTCAAAAAGAGCACCAAGGGACAACGCTCAATTGATGAATATATGCAATCAGTGAAAACTAAGGCAGATCAACTTGCTTTGCTTGGCAAGCCGCTTGATCATGAAGATATCATTGAATACATTCTTGATGGTCTGGATGATGATTATCGTGGTGTGGTGGAGCAGATCAATGGTCGAGATACTCCACCAACGTTTGAAGAATTGCGTGATAAGCTTGTTAATCGCGAAGCTGGTCTCCTTTGCTCACAACCCACTCCCGCCTTTCCTATCACTGCAAACGCTGCAACTTACAAACCAAAGTCAAATTTTCGGCCACAACAACAAACTTTTGACAATCGTCAACAATTTCCATCTTTTGGCGCTCGACCACAGTTCAATTCTCGTCCGCCTCGACCCTATTTGGGCAAGTGTCAAGCTTGTGGAGTGCAAGGACATAGCGCTCAACGATGTACTCAATTTCGCATTGTCGCTACTAATTCTTCGCCTTTTCAAGCATCTTCACCAGTTTGGCAGCCTCGTGCTCATGTTGCATCCATGTCTCCAGCGCTCGACACTCCCGCTTGGCTGCTTGATAGTGGAGCCTCTCACCACATTGCATCAGACTTGAGTAATCTCGCTTTACACTCTCCATATCAAGGGAACGAAACTATTACTCTTGGTGATGGCTCCGGACATCCAATTACTCACACTGGTTCCACCTCGCTCTCTTTACCTTCTCGTCCCATTATGTTAAACAATGTGCTTTATGCTCCTAATATTGAGAAGAATTTGATGTCCGTACGTCAAACATGTGCTGACAATGGTGTTTCGATTACCTTTGATCCTTGGTCTTATCAGGTGAAGGATCTAGCAACGGGGGCGCTTCTCAAAACCGGAAGCACTAGAGACGGGATGTATGAGTGGCTGGATTATGTTCCTTCTTCTACCAAAATTCAAGTTCTTTCTACAATAAAAACTTCAATGATCGAGTGGCATTCTCGCCTCGGTCACCCTGCTCTTGATGTTTTACATCGTATTCTATCTCAATGTTCTTTACCTTTTTCAAATAAAATTTCTTCTCCTTTGTTATGCAACTCTTGTTCCATCAATAAAAGTCATAAACTCTCATTTGGAGAAAACACTGTTTCATCTTCTAAGCCTCTTGAAGTAATTTATTCCGATGTTTGGACCTCTCCTATTTTCTCTTTTGATGGATACAAGTACTACTTGGTTCTTGTTGATCATTTTACGAGGTACACTTGGTTTTATCCTCTCAAACGCAAATCACAAGTTTTTGAAATTTTCAAATATTTTAAAGAACTTGTCGAAAATCGTTTTCAATCTCGTATTGTCACTTTTTACTCTGATAATGGGGGTGAATTTCAAGCTTTAACTCCTTTTCTATCACAACATGGTATTTCTCATCGCACTTCACCTCCTCATACTCCAGAGCATAATGGGATCTCCGAGCGCAAACATCGCCATATTGTTGAAACGGGCTTAGCCCTTTTAACTCATGCTCATATGCCTCTGGAGTATTGGTCTTTTGCTTTTGCTACAGCTGTGTACTTGATTAATCGGCTTCCTAGCTCTCCTTTGCAATTTCAGGTTCCCTTTGAGCTTCTCTTCCAAGAAAAACCAAATTACTCCAAACTTCGGGTTTTCGGGTGTTTATGTTATCCTTGGCTACGGCCATACTCTGCTCACAAACTTGATTCCAGGTCTTCTCCTTGTGTTTTTGTTGGATATTCTCTCTCTCAAAGTGCCTACCTCTGTTTTGACAGATCCTCTTCTCGTCTTTATTCTTCTCGCCATGTAGAATTTTTTGAAACCTCCTTCCCTTTCAAAGTGCCTAACTCTGTTCCTTCTTGCTCTTCTGCACCTGAAGCGGATATCATTCCTCCGGTTTCTCCTCTTCCTCCACCACTCAATCCCGTGGCTGGTGACTTCGGTGTTGATGCATCGCCTGGTAACCTAGATTCTTCATCTCCTCCGGTTATTGATTCATCATCATCGGACACTACCATAGCGATAACTCCTGGATCCTCTGCCTCAAGTACTTCTGTCGAGATTCCAGCGTCTTTTCTTCCAGCTTCAGTTCCGCTACCTACATCTTTGGATCCTCCACCCAATTCTCATCCCATCGTTACACGCTCAAAGAATCAGATCGTGAAGCCTAATCCTCGTTATGCGCTGAATGTTGTCACCACTCTTGACACTAATACTGAACCACGAACACATATCCAAGCTCTCAAAGATCCTCGATGGCGTGGTTCGATGGGTGATGAGATAAATTCTCAAGTGCAAAATAATACGTGGAATCTTGTTCCTCCGAATCCAAGTTACAACCTTGTTGGTTGTCGATGGGTGTTTCGCATTAAAAGGAAAGCTGATGGCTCTGTGGATCGCTTTAAATCTCGATTGGTTGCTAAAGGTTTTCATCAACGTCCGGGTATTGACTACTTTGAAACGTTCAGTCCCGTTGTGAAGCAACCAACCATTCGCTTGGTGCTTGGTCAGGCTGTGTCTCGCGGATGGGTTCTTCGACAAATTGATGTGAATAATGCTTTTTTGCAGGGTGAACTCTCTGAAGATGTGTATATGGCTCAGCCGCCTGGTTTTATTGATGAAGATCGACCGGATTTTGTCTGTAAACTAAACAAAGCAATCTATGGGCTCAAGCAAGCGCCACGAGCTTGGTACAATGCGCTTCGAACCTTCTTGGTTGATTGTGGTTTTTACAATTCGGTGGCTGACACTTCTCTTTTTGTTCTCCACAAACTGGGCATCTACTTGTTTGTGTTAGTTTATGTTGATGACATTGTTGTCACTGGTAATTCTGCATCTCATGTTCAAGCCTTTATTGATCTACTAGCAGCTCGTTTCTCGATCAAAGACATGGGTGAATTGAGTTATTTTCTGGGAATTGAAGTCACACACACAGAGGCTGGTCTTACTCTTACTCAAACCAAGTACATTAATGATCTTCTACATCGCACCAATATGATCTCCGCAAAACCAGTGTCAACTCCGATGGAAGAAAATCTATGTCTCTCTGCTTCTACGGGTCCTCTCCTTGATGATCCCGCTGAGTATCGTTCTGTCATTGGTAGCCTTCAATACCTACAATTTACTCGTCCAGATATTTCTTTCGCTGTCAACAGGCTCTCTCAATATATGCATCAGCCTCGCCTTGATCACTGGCTCGCGGCTAAACGTATCTTACGGTATCTTAGTGGAACCAAGTCTACGGGTCTGTTCTTCTCTGCTTCGAGTCCCTTGACTGTTCATGCTTTCTCTGACGCGGATTGGGCTGGCGACAAAGACAACTACTCTTCTACTGGTGCGTATCTTGTCTATGTTGGTCAGCATCTTGTTGCGTGGTCCTCAAAGAAACAGAAGACAGTGGCTCGTTTGTCGACTGAAGCTGAGTACAAATCTGTTGCTAACACTGCTTCTGAAGTTTTATGGGTTGTTTCTTTGCTTGCTGAGCTCGGTTTACCTCCATCTGGATCTCCTGTTATTTATTGTGATAATATGGGGGCAACGTATCTGAGTTCTAATCCTGTTTTTCATTTCGTCCGTGACTTGGTGCAATCTGGATCTCTGCGGGTTACTCATGTTTCTTCTCATGATCAGCTTGCGGATGCCCTCACAAAGCCTTTATCCCGTTCCAAATTTTCTGCATTCTGTCACAAGCTTGGTCTCGCTTCTCTCCGTCCAGCTTGAGGGGACGTATTGACTGAATTATTATTTGTATTGATTCTCTCCTTCTTGTTGTCTGTTGCTTTGACTATCTCCTCGTCTTCTTCTCTTCTTAACTGTCTCTTAGTATTCATGTCTTGTACTCTGTATAAATACCTTGCTTCTCATCAATAATAATTATCTCTTTCATAACAATTTATAATGAACACACATTGTTTTAAATCCACAATGTACACAAGTTCAGGCTCTATCATTTAGCAAAATCATGTCACAATATAAAAATCTAGATACAGACGAACCATATAGTGTCTAGGTAGAGAAGATGGTGGGTCAAATTCAAAAACTCTCTCTCACGAGTTCCGGATAGATGATATAACGGAAGTTGGAGTCATGGTTAATCCAACGAATGTATCTGTCTTGTTTTTTCTTTACAACTCGTGTCAGTGTCGTTCTTTGTGTCTCTGTTAGGCACTCTGATATGGTATTAAAGAGTTCAGCCATGTCGAGAGAAGTATCCTTTGCGTAGTTGTAAATGATCTTTGGCAATAGAATCTTTGTCTCTTTCTCAAATCGAACACTTGTTTGGATGAAACTGTCTCTTGCTTGCCTAAGTTCTTGAAAGATTCCTTCTGCTGTATAAACTCGGACCTAATAAACCATTACATTGTTTTCAAATGGTTAACTCGGTTTGTGGGGAGATCAAAAGGAGAAAGGAATTGAATCGGTATATTACCATTGGATCGGTTGATGCTCCTGTAGAGAGGGCAAAATGAAGAAGTGGTTCGGCATAATCCAACGAATAAGTGTGTCGACCGCTACTTGTCTTTGAACTCCTAGCCGGTGAAAATAACGTCCATAAACGCTGCCATGGCAGATTTCACATATTTAGAAAGTTTAAGATTTTGAGAATATGACTTCGTTCTCAAGTTTTCTTTCATTTTTGCTTTTCCAGAGGAGAGTTACTAAAAATACTATGGTTTATTTGGAAAAAAACTATTGCAAAATCAACTTACTGATGGTGAATGGCATGCATGAATGCCCAATATCGAACTCTGGACATCGTATGCGTTTATCCGCTCCCCACCGATGTTAAATGCTGCCTGGACAGGTTAAACATCTAACTGCTTAATGGCTCAAATTAATTACTGTTTTACAATGCAATTGATAGAAGAAAATTGTCAACTATCTCAAACCTTCAAGATCGTTGTGCTTGTTGTATCTTCACTAAATCCATATACTATATACGCCTGTAAGATCACACCAGTGTTATATCATAATAATAACAAAAGGAACTTGAAAATTATGGTAAGGGACTCATATTTGCTAATTTGCTTACGTGCATCACTAAAGCATTATGAATGTTTATCCAGAACGCAAGTTTCTCTTCCCTAGCCATCCTTTCGGGATCAACTTTCTCGAGCTTTTGAACCAACGATCTGCATTTTAGTCAGTTCTAAAAAGAGTAAGCTACTTTAAAATCTATGTAATGCAAGAATTCTTACACATTTTCTTTACAATGCAATCTCACCTAAAATTCTGAAGCAAGCTCTCTACCGACTTCAAATTGTCATCTTCTAGGCAAAGTTTACCGATAACAACTCCAAGTTCCTCATTAATATTTTCATTCTTTGAGTTCTTCTTGACTATTCTGCTATGTCCCTGCTTGTCTGAGAGTTTGTAGTGTACCACACAAATACTTCTCAGAATCTCTTCCGAGAGTTTATTGGGACTGAGAGTGTTAAGACCAAGAAGATCAGCCAAACTCGGGTGACCAGAGTCGGATCTTTTTATCTTGTCCTGAAAAAAACGTTTTACAATCACAAATTAATAATAAAGCAAAACAAAACACTACAACTACATCAATATATGCATATGAAAAAATTAAGATCACTCACCATCTCAGACAATGACTTGAAGCTAGACAAGACAGACTTATCAGACTCAGAAGACGCCCGGTCATTGTAAAATTTGGTCTTGTATGGAGGGAGTGGAGAATTATCTAGTGACAATGATGCAGGCAAATGATCTCCGAAAGATGATCTGTATAGCGAGAGAAGATACCGCTCTAAAAGTAAGATCTCTGTGTCAAGCTCCGCGATCTCTCCAATAAGTTCTTCGTTCGACTGCAAAATCCAGATCCTCAAAATAGATAAGCTCACATGTATGTATCATATATAAGATATGTACATGAAAACATAAAATGTGAAATTGACCTTATACACTGAGGAACTAAAGCTGCACTTCACCTTCTCAACATCCCAGAGAGGAGATTTCTTTGGATACAAACGAAAAAACCATGATTTTGAAAAAATAAATTAACTTATTCATCAAGAAATCAAATAGTAGATGAATGATGTCAAAAAATAAAAATAAGAACTTACATCAATGGCTTGAGATGGCCCATTTTGAAATGCTCTCCAAGATAATAATAATAAAAAAAAACCATAGATTAATAAACAAGATTATATTTCAATACCAATCATTAAGACTTGATTAACCTCGGTAAAGCAAAGTACCTTGGAGTACTTAGCTGAGAAGAAGATGAAGAAGAAGAAAAAGAAGAAGATGAATATCGATAATTCTTCGATGGCATTCTCTTTCTTATGAATTTTAGATCAAAACCCATAAATCTTTTTGAATATGAGATGATAAGAATAACAATGAAGATGGTGATTTTGGTGTGAGGGGAAGAGAAGAAGCTAATAAAAGGAGGAATTGAGAGAGAGATGGGAAGGTAAAAAGGACAGTGATTGGGTTTGGTATCCGAACAATACCATCACTAGGTGGAAAGGAATCTAACAGAACCACATACCAAACCACATACCAAAATCTAACAACTCGTAGTTTTTTTTAATATAAATAATAATAAATCAAGTGATCAGACAAGAGTATAATTATACCAAATCAAGACCCAATCCTAAAATTAATTTGTCAAGAAGGAGAAAAAGTAGTTTCTACAAGAATAAAAGAGGATGACCCACTCCTCCCATTAATAATCGTCAGTACCAATAATTCAATATTAGTGTAGTAGAAAAAGAAGAAAAAAAACTTATTGTATATTTATATACATACTGTAGTTTAATTTCTGTATTGGTGAAACTTCAAATGATTCCATGATATCGAAGCAAAAAGTATAAGAAGGGGTTGTTTAGCAACATATAAAATACTACCTTAGGGAACTTCATATAAAATACTACGACAAATGTAACCAAGCCAACACTTAGCCCTAGCGTGATCAAACGTTCTGTTACCATCTTTAAGTACATCCCATTCCTCTTCTTTCGAATCGACTTAATCAATTCTTCAACCTTTGATGCCTTTCCTTCCCCACAAAACCGAGAAATTAGCAAACCCGACTGGTATGCTTATATCTAGTTTTGGTCCTTTTGGTTTCCACTCTTTATATATACTAGGTGAGTTCCCGCGCTGCGCGCGGGTTTTCTTTCATAAGATTTGTTTTGACGAACACCAACAGATTCTTATTGTTCAAGTTTTTCTTGGATTATGTGGTACATCAATAAAACCTGAAATGAGAAGATTCATGAGAATGTGGATAGAGATCCACGAGAAGTTACAATTAGTGAAAAATGAGGCCCATGCTTGGACCTTAGCTCAAGTGGAGTTTATTAACGACACTCATGCTCCTATGATAGGTAGGTCAGAGGTTATAAATTCTCTGGAGTTCCGATGTTTCTTTGATGGTTCTTGGAAAGAGAGTGAAAAGTTTTTAGTAATATGATGGTTTTGTACACTACCAAATGACGATGCGCCAAGGGAGCTGCCAATCATCGACGGAGCCTGACTTCTCTGCATACATAAGGGGAAACACTCGTTTGGGTAATGAAATGCATGTTTAGCAAAAATAAACTTGAGGTAGTTTTCATTACACATTCTCTGACCTGGTGAATATGGTGTCTTTTCCAACCGAGTAGCCATCTTTTTCTACATACATGGAAGAAATTGAGAGCGACAGAGTGTTTTCTTCTGTTTCGATATCTTTAATTTCTCATCGAGCTATTGTTGAAACAAATAAATTGGCATGAAATGACTATTCTAAAACAATTTTTGTCCTATAAACCAATTTTATAGATGGTAATGTTGAGATTATATAAACTTCTAGAATTTGATGATGGAGCTTCTCTTACATACTCCTCACCTTTTGTGATATGTATAAAGATAGAAATTAGAAAGAATAACATATTCAAACCATTAGCTAATCTACTATAATATTATATATATACTCATATTTTTAGTTAAGACTCTAAAAGAATAGCAAAGAAAACCCAAACGAATAAGAGAAAACTAACAAAATAATTTTATTGACGGAAAAAACATATAATAATAAAATAAAGTTAATGTTGTAAAAATTTGTAGAAAATAAAACTTTACTAAATTAAAGATATGGAGTAATGTTAATGTTGTGCATGTTTTATGAGAGAGAGTACTAAAACAGTCTGGTTGGATGTTATGGCTCGTCAATGCTCTCATTCTTCACACTGGAACATATTAATTTAAACCTTGCACCTAAAATGAAACACCATATTTTTTTTTATCTCGAGATTCAAGTATTCAACCATTTTCTTTGTTTTAACATGCTAGACCTTACCAGTAAATTAAAATGAACTTGATTTAGATTTTCAAAAACAGAAGAAGCTTTAAAATAATTATATTTCGACAGCATCATTATAATTCCATATTTTATCTCTAATAACCTATTAAAGATGTGAAAGGAGCCTCACGAACAATACCCCTCTATAGCTTTAAGCAGCTTACGTTCATGGCATTTCCCTTCCCTCCACCATCTTTTGATTCTTAGACTCCTTAGAATAGTGAGTGACTTGCAGGGTATTGAACCATAGCTAATTCTAAAAAAACAGGATTAAAATCAAAATGTTTGACCTATTGTAATATAAAATATTAAATTGAAATTTATTTAGTTCATATTTTTGAATCGGTGCCTTTTCTGACCCTCTCAAACTCTTCTTGAATAGATTTAAAAACATCTTCGAAACAAGGCTCAAGAAACACGTACAGATACAACCTCATAAATAAATAGAGGCTCAAATTATTAAGCGGCTAGCGCTTCTGAGAACCATCATGTTTTACAATGACAACAAAACACAACAAATCAGATAACTGAGACCTCACATAATTTAAGGGCTAGTCAAAGTTAGTTTAACTACACAATAGTCAAAGTTAGTTTAAGCTAGGTGTGTTTATTTTTACAAGTGTATTTAAATGTTTCATCTGTAACCTTTGAAACATGATAATGTCTACCGGTCAGTGTTAATACAATAAGCGAGAGACCAATTTTTTTTGTTTGGTATCTACTTTATGAACATTAGCTTAGCTGAGAACTTACATTAAAAGTAGTCTATTTGGGAGGCTTTATTATTTCTCGTTGAATGTACTCGTCGTGAAAATTAACTTACTGTAAAAATGTTCGGCATTCGAAAGGAAATACATTAAACGTACAAATTTCATCCAAGCTTGGCTTTGACCTATCAAAGGAAAAAAGAAGGAAATAAAAAATCACCTTATAATTGGACCTTTTTCCATACAAAAATCCAATGATTCAGTTGCAACTTGTCCATTAATCATGCTAAAATCAAGATCTATTCCCTGAGAGACATCTTAAAATAGTTAACCGTGAATATTTAGGTTGAGATCCTGGAAAATGGCTAACGTAATCATAAAATCCAAACATGCTACACATATTTTAAATAAAAGAACCCTAGAAGTTCGTGGACACAAATGTAAGTTGTTGATTTGTAGAGAATTGAATACACTTCCCATTCTTTTTGAATATATCATGTTCTCCTACAATCCTACAGTTCACCATGGATCAATACTTGCAAAGAAAATGATATAATGTATTGGGTTTTTCTATCCAGTACATATTAGCAATTTGTGATTTTAAAGAAAACATTGAGAGGATATAATAGCTCATGCTTACTTGTTAGTTGCATTGGCATAACAATATCCCCTTCACCAAAGTGGAACCCTAAACTCCATTTTTATGGAATATGAAAAGAAAAAAAAATAGAGACCAGAGATAAAGGTGAACGAGCTTTGCCATACATTTGTGGACTGGATTCAAAATATACTATTACAATCTGAAAAGACCAACAACAATGTATCAGATGTTGACGGTGAAGGAAGAAACCCAGACTACAAACCTGGCTTTGATGGCACCAACAAAAAAAAGAAAGAAAAGCTCGTTTCGCAACCATCGCCAGAGTTCGCACCAAGTCAGTTAGTGGCTGGCCGATGATCGCCAAGACGCCAACGATTCTATATGCATTCAAAAGCAGGGAAGATCTATACGAATCGAGACCACTAAGAGGTATAACCACTGAAATTACATGTAGGCGTAGGTTGATGGAGGTGATTAAAAAAGAAATTATAACGAATTTGAATTAAATAGAAGACGAGAAAATATGAAGGCGAAGAAGTTGGAAAGATTGGCAAGTAAGATTCCGATAAAGAAGACGAAGGGGATGAATCGGATGGAAGACGAAAGAGGTAAAACTGAAATGTCATTAATTGATTCATTCAGTAAAAGTTGGAACAAATAGAGTCTAATTGAAAGAAACAGTTTACAACACGTTATCAGCACGATAACCCTAGCCGACTGAGCAAAACAAATCCTAGCCACCTTAACTACGAGAAATATCTTCTGAAACACTAGTCGATCGTGTCTCCCCTTTTCTAAGGTTTACGTTCTCCGATCACACATCACACATCATACTTACGGTTCATTCTAAAGATAAGTTTTGCTATATGCTTTATAATTATCCCCTATTGCTTATGCTTATAATCGTTCATACTTTAATTAATTATTCGATGTGCCAATTCAATTATAGCAAGGAGATTTGTTTGTTATCACTTATTCACTTATTACTTTTATTGTTTATGTTACTGTATCGTAAACATGGTCTCATTGTTATTGCTTCAGTTGTTTATTGCTTCAGTTGCTTTATTCGATGTTTGTGATTAACAAATTTATATGGTGGAAATTTACTACCCATTATTCTATTATTTGGTTTAGATGGCACGATAGTTTGAGTTTGTTTGGTAAGTGGAGATCTATGTTATATTGTTTCATTATCATGATCTATTAGAGTGTTTCTCTGTTTTGGTATTCTCTTAATTCATGACATGAATAATTTATGTTTTATAATTCGTTGGTTTGAAAAGACTTACGTAATGGATTAATTTTACTATTTATTTAATATATGTGATTGCTAATAATTATTTTGTGAAAATCTAGATGATGATCTATGATAAAGCTAATAGAAGCACAATAGTCAGACTGAGAAAACATATTCAACCGGCGAGACCGACTCATATTTCCCATCTCTCAGTCTTTGACTAGTCGCTCTTTCGACTCCTTTTTCCGATGCCATCTTCTTCATGATTCTATTTACCACCGCCATAATTGAGATAAGTATCACTTATTATTAAGATAAGTAAGATCGATTGATTCATTATAAAAGAGTCAATCGCCACATGCTCTATAACTAATTCAATTTGATTATTATTTTATAGCAACGCATGCTTTAGAATTTGTCATCTCATGCTTCGTTATTAAGATTTTTTTTTTTACTTTAATTGTTTGGACTGGTAAATCGTCGGTTTCAATTGGTTTAGTAATTAAATCATTGTTTTATTGTCACATGCCATGTTTCCATGAGCAAAATTTTGAGTTTCTCAGGAATCAGGATTATATATATTGAGATTTTGTAGAGGTTCCAACCAGCTAAGAGACATAACTGTTTCCAATCTCCGTATCAGATCTCGGG